GATAAAACGTACCTTGTCCAATCTGGATGCACCACTGAACATTTCAGGAGACTACACGGGAAAATAAAAATTACACAGTGTGACTGGAGCTCATCATCTGTTCACTCTGTGTAAATGGGGCAGAAACAGTAAATTCAAAATTGCAGAATGAGCGGTTTCAGGTGGGAAAAAAGAGGATACAGTGGTTTGCACATTGCAACACTGACAGGCATATTGCAACACTGACAGGCATATTTATGAATTGTTTGCATGGATTTTATTCGCATTTAGCACATGTATGTGTGTGTGTGTGTGTACGTGTGCTTGTTATGTCGAAACAGCCACACAGTCAGGAGGCTGAAAAGCTGCTTCTGCTTTTGAATGAGCTTGTTTGCTGAACTGCTGCCAGCTGTGAGGCAGGCAAAGAAGAAGAATTTAAACAAAGAGAAAATACATTTAACCTGAATTAACATTATTTACCTTTTTTCAATCCTTCAGGTTAGCATGGCCGCCCTTCTTTAATAAATTCAACAAAATAAATAGCTATGGCATGTGAATTTAAATGTTGTATTATTTAAATAAGGGTGTCCTTGCTTAGCCCAGAACAGGAGCATAATAATTTATTAGAACCCACCAAAGCTGAACTACTGAGGCAGATACTGATATAAATATTTGGCAGTTTAGAAAATCCAATACCAATATGCAAGCCAATAGTATTTTTTTTTAACAAACATAACAATAATAAACAATAAACAATCTGAATTTGGATACCTTATTGTTATTAATTGTGTTATTCAGCTGTCCTGACACTTTGCTCAGCTGCTGGGGGATTTTAGAAGTTAAAGAAGTCTGTCACTATTATTTTCTGTGGAAGGATGGATCTGGGAATTATCTGTTTCATCAGATATTTCACCACAATTGTCTTCTTTTTTTGCATTGATATGTATCACCTGGGAGACATATGTATAAAGTGTATTTGCATATTTACAAATGGTTCTGATAATGGCGTCAGGTGGTCATATTTATTGCTTCTCAATCTTTACCTTTGTTGTTTTGTAAGCATCCCGTGCACCTAGCTACCAACGACTAAATGTCTTTTAACTTCTTTTAACCTTCGTTCTGTTGGTTCCACAGATAAGAACAAACCTCAGGGTGGTGGTGAAGCGACCTCAGAGAAGCAGAAGCAGGACACAAACGTGACGGCTCTGATGGCGTCCATCAACAAACTGCAGCAAGAGAAAAATCAGCTGCAGAAAGAGAAGGATGAGCTGCAGGCCAAACTGGCCGCCACTAAAGGTAGATGCCGCGATGTTTGTATGCAAGCGTGCATACTACGCTTACTGTAGCGCTAAAGTGTGAGCTACAGTAGAGCTATGAAATATAGATGTTGGGGAACTGTACCGTTCTTCTTCTGTTGCCTAATCTCTCTCCGTCTGGGTGTCATCAGCTCCTGAGGTGATCAAACCGACGACGAAGGTGACGCCTGCCCCTATCGTCTGCCCCGTGGACTGGCATCTCTTCAACAACAGCTGTTACTTCATCTCTAGAACCACAAGGGATTGGCCAGAGAGCCAGTCGTACTGCGAGAGCCAAGGAGGTTACCTGGCCATCATCCACACTGCTGAGGAGCAGGTACAGTACGACCAGGGGCCATGACATCCAAGATGTTGGAGTTTATTTTGAGTGAAGACAATGAGTTCAAGAGGTTGCAAAAGTACACACATTCTTTACTCAAATAAAAGAACTGACACTTAAAACAAGAATGGTAACTGCCAGATGAAAGATGGTGGCGTGATTCATTCACCTCATATCGTTCCGTCGGTGGATCATAACATATATGGTATGAAATTAATCTGCAGATACTTCGGTTCAAAATGAGACCAAACTTTTATATGGATGTCACTTTTTGAGACATGACAAAGGCCAGAATGTGGCCTTGTTTTTAGCCTAGCAGTTGTTGATCATTTGCGGCCAGTTAAGAGTGGTAAGGACAGCAGTGGCTGCAAAACAGAGTAGTCAATAAAATGTTCAAGGTTTCGTACACTATGAATCACTGCAACCACAACTCTTGTGGTGAGTGATGAATGCTGAGTCTTGAAGAGTCTTGAATACGCCTAAACATTTATGTCTGTGTTTCCTCTCAGACATTTCTGTGGAATCTCCTGCCCAGAGGCCACTGGAACGCTTTCTGGTTTGGGATCACTGACGAGCACACGGAGGATCACTGGAAGTGGGTGGATGGCACCCCGCTGGTCGGAGGGTAGGTTTACGCGTTCAGCACCACACCGCACACCGACCGAAGTCTTGATGTCACATTTGGTCTAGCCTCTGTTGCGCTAGCTTTTGTTACGCAATGCAGTCTCTCATTCAACTGCCTTTTCTCAAGGACTGGCTGAAGAAGGTTGTATGAAACAAGGAGTAAATAAAAGGCTCATTACATGCTGTATAGAGGAAGATGTCACTAAAGCTGTGTCAATAAATAGAAAAGAAAGAGAAAGATAGTGTGTGCATGTTACTCTAGGTTGTTGTTTGGTTAGAGATTATTCTGAGTGACCAGAAAAATAGAACAACCTGTAAAATCTAATGCAGTGCAATACCCATCAATAAAAACTACATCACTTAAACATAAATAAACATCCTAGACCTAAATCATTTCCAACACTGCTATCAGTTGGGACACGAAAAGCAATGCAGTTTTTGAGAATCGATAAACAACATAAAATATCTCGATACGATATCTTTTGATATTTTCTTCCACCCTTAAAGTGAAGAACAATACCCAAAAACCCCTAAAGCCTGCAAAACATACAAAAGTGTACAATAAACACAAATTCCTCACTCAGTGTTTAATATCAACAACTTGACAGGACATGAAATGTAACCTTGAATGGTGGGAGGACTTCAGCTCAGGCTTTGATACAATGAACAGTTAATCCAAACTGTGTCTCCACTCCTCTGGCTCCACACTGTCTGTGGTACACACACATCATTGGCCGAACACCCACACACAGATTGACTGACCATTTGACTTTTACCTCTGTTGAACATTGGCCTCTCACGTACTCACAGACTTTGGCAGAGGTTTTGGCCTGCAAGCTGCACAGTGACAGTTGTTGAGGAAAGTCAGGCGGTCAGAGGAAAGACGTAGTCAGTGAAGTAAAAAGGGGAAGTGGACGAGGCGAATGACCATGTTAAGTTTAAACTACTTCCTGTTTTACTGGAGTGTCATTCCTTGTAACCAAAACAAGATGTGATCCTCATTTTAGCAACACAAGAAACATGCCAGTATACTATCAGAACTTCTTGTTGGTGGGGGCTCCCAGGTAGCTCACCAGGAAGAGCTGGCCAAGGCTGACTCCTTACTGCAGCAGCAATAGTTTTGCTTTAGTTTTCTTTTTAGTTTTTTCAGATCTGTTTCAGCATTAGTGACAAGCAACAGTTAATTCTTTTGATTATCAATTCATTATTTAAGTTACTGATAATCAGACTGAATGGCAAATTCGTTTAATTACTGCTTTTCTCTGTTACATTAACTGTAAATGTAATATTTTGGACTGTTGCTTTGACAAAAAGCAATTTGAAGACATATAGACACCACATAAGAGCCGGCTCTTTGAAGTGAACGATTGGGAGCCAGATCCAGATTTTTTTCCTGTTTTTTCCCCGTTTTTTTCTGTTAAAGCCGCGAGTGGCCGCTGTGTACACACTGGAGCAGGAGGGTGGAGGAGGTTACAGACACACAGGGAACATGAGCATAACAGGTGGAGAAGACGTAAGAGCGAGAGAATCTTGCTACATAGGACAGAGACTACACACCGAAAGGTGAGGAAAAGATACAGGAACACAGTAAAGTTGACATATAGTATATTAAATGTAACAGTTCAAAAGACAAGTGTGAACCTGGTTAGTTAAAAAATGTCATATCGAGCAGTCTTTTGTCTAAATTGAATTGGCTTTTGTTTGTATTAATAAATTTATTTTGTATGTGTGTTATAACATTTGATAAATGTATTTACTTAGATCATCATTTCACATATGGGGTAATAATACATTTAAAGCAACAAAAATCTGAGGACCACTTGGACCGAAAAGAGCCGGTTCTTTTTAGTGAGCCGAGCCAAAAGAACCGTTTACCATTACCTTGGTCCCCTGTAAATTTCAGATTGTGTTTTTACATAATATAATAATAATTAGCATAATAATTTATTAGAACCCACCAAAGCTGAACTACTGAAAATTTCGGATTGTGTTTTTACAAATTTAAAAACATGAATTCTATTTATATTAATCTGTTAACAAATAAAATAATTAATCTTGTACATTGATGAAAAAATAATCATTTAGTTTCAGTCCTATTTAGACTTTGTTTTAACGAAAGCAACAATGAATAGGACAGTCAGTAAAGAGTTAAAGAGTTAAAGATGTTCCAGATGTGAGACAACAGCTAGAGGGAGGCCAGGGTCATGTGTGCTTGCAAACAGCAGCTCTGAGGAGGGTTATGAAAGTGCTGTTAAAGTGTAACTAAAAAACTAATTTCTGTTAGCTCCCTCCCTCCCAGCAACGTTTTTATGTGGGACAGTTTCAACCAGTAGAGGGAGGTCGCTTTATTATTTACAATGCAATGTCAACGTTTGGACCTGAATATCTATATGCAATCTAGGTTTTTCAGTTGAAGAAAAGTGGTGTGGGTTTAGTTACTCTTAAACTGCTGCAGGGCGCTGCATTGCAGGTGACCCTTAACCTCTGATGAAAAACAAATGTGCCAGTGCCAAAGACTACATGTTGAAAGATACTTTAACTTTTAAAATTCTAAGTCAGATCAGTTTATTTTCCATCTTGTGCCAACTCAACAGATTTTCCAATAATCATCTGATTTCTCTTCCTCATTTTGAATGCATTTGTTTATGAGTAACCCGTTATCATTCCTTCCCTTCCCCTTTTACTGCTGAGATGCCAATATTTTCCTCAAGTTTTTCTTGCTTGGCTCTGTTCAGCCTTTGCATTTATTGAAATATTTAACTTTTATCCATGAAACTTAATCACTTTTCATGCCATCAGCAGCTTTTATGTTTATCTCCGGAACTGCTTTTCTGGACAGACCTGTACTGAAATTAGTGGAAATTGTGTTGCTTTTATCTCACTGACACTGCCTGATTAAAGGTACTATTCCAGCTATTCAGCCATGATTTCTGTGTCAACTAATAATAACTACATTAACAGTGACACTATTTCTGGATGACTTTAAGCATATTGCTGACCAAAGTGATTGCTTGCTCTCTTCTGACTGTAGTTTCTGGGAGGTCGGCGAGCCCAACAATCACATTGACGAGGACTGTGGCTACATTGTGAAAACGCGTGTGTTGGAGCGAGTGGCGATCCGGAGCTGGTACGACGCCCCCTGCAGCATGTACTGCCGCTTCATCTGTGAGAAGGAGATGGGTGCTGGTGCCAGCACCGCCATACCACACTGAGACGTCAGCACCGCTTCCATCATCAGAGGAAAACAAGTGGAAAGACAGTTTGTGAGGTTTTAACAAAGGGCTGTGTGTTCTCCATTTTCCCTTAAGACCTGAGAAAGCTGATATTTTGCAAGTATAATTCCACCTCATTTTTAAATTCACACGTTGTTTAGATCTGACACAAGTCAGTCAGATATTGAGGTTCATATTTCACAGGATGGACATCAGAGACTTTTGTTTAACAAAAGCACTGGTGGTCCACTCTGTCCACAGCACTGGACAGAAGTATGGTTAAAGGTGTTAAATTAAAACCATTAATTTAAAAAGGTTTTACAGTAGTATGAAGAACATTGAAGGTAGCTGTACTCCACAGCAGTTACCATACTCTTTTTATTTTTATGAATTCTCAATCTTAAACTTTTACATGTTCTTTTTTTTCTTGGTAATGGTTTAATAAATATTAGCTTTTAAATAAGCTTTTATGGGATTATTATGGGGCTGTTATTGGGCTACAGAGGGAGCTTCTCTTACACGGAGTCCGCCATGTTAAACCGCCATGTTTCTACAGTAGCCCAGAATAGACAAACCAAAGGTCTAAGATGGGCCTTTCAGACTTCTTGTAACTTTATTGTTTGTGTAATGACCCCCATCAAAAGCACATGTATGTGCCTGTAGTCTTCCAGGGGAACATCGAAATACAGTACAGACATACAAGTGTTGTGTTTGTACCTGCCTTAACTAATAGCTGAATCTAGTATAAATAATCTTCTAATTTTGAGATTTCATGTTTTTGAGCATGGTCTTTGTTTAATAAAAGAAAAAGAAAAATACAAACAACTTGAGATATAAAATAATAAAGTGATAACAGATCAAAATAAAAAATAGTGAGCCACCGTAGTTTCCCTTAAACTTTGAAGATGCGTTATTCAGTTGGCTGCAATCTGCAGCTTCACCACTAGATGCTACTAAATGTTTCCCACTGGTATTTGAAATTGTAGAGTCATTGAAGCAAACCTCACATTCATTCTTGTAATGAAGTTATGATTGATACCTGGCAAATATATAAATAAAGAGTGTACTTTGGAAGAAACACAACCTCAGAGTATTTAAGATGACGTGCTGGGCAATGTTCAGTTTGTAGAGTAAAGAGTAGAAGGAAAGGTGGAGAGGAAAAAAATCGTACTGACTTGTGATGCTGACTCAAAAATGCAATCTGTGCTCTAAAATCCTCTAAAGTTGCCAGAAATTAATGTTAATCAAAGATAAGACATTACAGAAAAACAATTTCAGTATATATTTATCATCATGTATCATAAGCCGGTTGCATCAGTTCCTGAAAAGTATTACAAATATTAACTTAGCTTTACAGTCATTAAAGTTTTGCCACAAAAACTGTTAAGTAAAGATCGGCTGTTACAAAATAATTTACACTCAGTCACAGCAAGGTGTTACTGCTATGTAGCTAACTGACCACCAACTGACGAAGCTAATATTTCAGGTAGTCAATTTCCACTGGAATACCCGCTGAAGCAGGATTTCCAACTAGGAAACTCAGAAAAGTAAAATACATTTACAGTAGAAGTAGAAGTTTTTTACAGCTTGCGATTCTACAGTGACATTCTGTTTCTACATTTATGATTGCTTTTGATTGAAGTGCATTACAGATGTTTGTACACATAACTCTAGTCTGTACTAGTTAAGACATTGCTTGAACTTAATGGTGCAGCCCGGTTTAGTAAATCACCAGAAAACAGCTTATGGTTATTAAGAACTCAGGAAGAACTTAACAATTTTAGCAATAGATTTACTAATAACTGGTGCATCCCAGTGCTCTTTTCTCTTTATGTTAGAGCTATGGATCAATAATGCAGAGATTTACATATGTTTTTAAATATTTTTGTTATATACACCAACTATTCTAAAAAACATCTTTCCAATTTTGATACCAATAATCAATCATCATATATTTTATACTGATAATCACCTGTAAATGATTGTATATCTATATAGAATGTATCTGTGCTAATCTGGAGGTCAGTGGCTGTTAGTTATATCAGCCTCAGTTGAGTCACTAGAAGCCTTGGAGGAGGATTGTGACACTTCTATATAGTGTTATATAGGCTCGTTGTGGTCCTACAGTGTATTGGTGCCTTATACCACATAAATGATGCTTACATGATATTTTTAAATGATTCTGTAGTAGAATTTATAAATCAGGGATTTAAGAATTGATTTGTTTTTACATGGTAAATGTGCTTTTTAGCAGTCTATGGTGGTGTGTGTGATTGTAATATGTTAGCGATGTCGCTGTAAGAATGATCAGTTTAAATTCGATGCACTTTTGGATGTCAGGTTTTGAAGTTTTGATTGAACAGCCTAAATCCAATAATTTCTGCAGAAATGTGTCCTGTGGATAAATAAATAATAAAGAGAATTGTTTTGTATCTTCATGTCTGACCTTATTTTAGTATTTAGTATTTATTAAAAGTATTTTATCTTTGTATCTCATTCTGAAACCCTGAACGGTCATTTTAATGGCTTTATCTCGAGATTATAAGTGAATTTTTTTGTTGTCTCGGGTTAACAAGGGTCGTTTTCTCGTAATATCTCGTTATCTCAAGAAAACAAAAGGCCGGGTTCAATGTCGCAAATAGCTCAACTTTTAATTGTTAATGTCTTTAGATTTCACTGACCAAATTTGAAGTCGATCCGAATTCCCTCGGAGGAGTTTGTTCAAATATAAAGCAAAAAATTGCTGAATATGACGACTAAATTTAAAATGGCCAACTTCCTGTTGGGTTTGTGACACAGCATCCTTGTTGTTGTTGTTATTGTTGTTTCCCAGCAGGTGGCACTACTAGCACAAACAACCTATAGTCAATATGGTGACTGTATGGGAGTCTGCGGGCCAAATTTAATAACAGCACAATAGCAACTAAAGTAGATTTTGAAATTATTTATGATAAATTCATGTATTTCCTCCTGCTGCATTTTCAGATTAAAAAGTTTCAGTGTTGGTCTGTAAAGTAGAAAAGATACATTTTATGTACAAAAACACACAGACATATACAGGGTAACCATACTTTCAAAAATATGAAAACAAAATCAGGCTTTGACCAATTTTAAAAGTAAATCTCTGAAAATGAAGCCAAAAAATTAAGTGAATCTTCTGATTAACTGTTTTCCACACAAGAAAAAGTAAATTTACATGATATTGAGACTGGGATTTCCTTTCGAACATTTATGAGAAAAAAAAGATCTAGTTTTGCATGTCTTGGAAAAACTGCAAAATCTGGAAATTGACTTGAAATTACCAAACAGCCTCAAATAATCTATGTTGTCCTGGATGTTTTAGAATTGTATTTTAGCCCCTCAGAAGGACTACATAAATGTATTGGTAGTATAAGCATGCACGGTATGACACTTTAAAGCAGCTCTACCAGCCACAAAGAAAATTATGAATGATATGAGCATTTGTGAGCTGTTCTGTATTCTAGTCAAGAAAAACTCCTGGTAAATTTCCTGGAAAGGTCCTGGGAAATAATCTCTTAAAAAGTATGGAAACCCTGTAAATCTACTGTGAGCTAACCTGTACATCATTTTTACCAAACAGTTAACAGTCGTTTCTATGGCAAATCAAACCAAATTATTTATTTATTATTCAAAGAAGAACATTCTTAGGTTGGTGGTACAACAAAATACACAGAAGCAGTATAAAAATACATACATTTAAACAAAAGTGACCATAAAAGGGACAATACATTAACTTTTTCACATCAGGTTTCTGGTTTAGCGACCAGCTGCACAACAACATTCCTTCTTAATGTATTAACACACTTCCCATGTACAAAATAAGTCTCATATATCCCCCTGAGGTTTCATCACGTCTTTTTCAGACTTACGTTATGTCTTCAATGTAATCTTGTCCTTTTCCTGTCTTGTCAAAGTGGCCTAAGAGTAACCCTTAATGAAGAAACCAAAGGTGGAGGGGGGTCTGCTGAATGCAGGGTTTGTACTCGTGCTTCCCTCCTGAGCTTGTTACTGCAGGGAGTTATCAGGAAGTCAGCTAGCCCTCTTCTGTCACAGTTCATTAGGATTACAGGCTGGCACTTACTGAGAGAGAGGGAAGGAGAAACATACTGGCTCTTTACTAACACTATGTAATAATTTCCCATCATCAAATCCAACAAAGACAGATTGAAAGGTGAAGCCCTAAAAGACACCGTAGAGAGAAAATGTCTTTATATGACACTGTGAAGAACATATGAGCAGAAAATGTATCAAAAATCACAGAAATTGTGTCCAGTAAATATCCCGTCTCTGAAATTAGAAAATACTTTTCTTTACTCTTATGCACATTTTGCAAAATATGTGGATCCTTGTTTCAAGATAAAGGTTTGTTAATGAATTACATTCAAAAACAGTCAGAATTAGCATTTCTGCATGCTGTAATCCTCCTGTTCACACTGGCCTTGATCTTGTGCAAAAAAGATCCTAACTTTGAAAGATACTCTCTGATCTCAGGCGGGGAATATGATTTGTGCGTGATGGGAAGTTGGACCAGGTCTGTTCCAGTCTGGGTCATAAAAATCATATAATGTGTGATATGTTAAGAGTCTAACATACCTGGGTGATGAACCAGTAAACAAATGTGT